TGGCTTTCTGGAGGAGCAAGTGTCAGATCCCAGAACCTGATCTAAGAAAATGTGTGGCTTGGTTTTTAAAATTTTGAGCAAACTCTGTTTGTTGGGGAGGGGTTATTGCATGCCATTGCTGACAGCAGTGGTTCCCCAGGTGTTTCTGGATTGCCACTCCCAGAAGCCTTTGCCACCAGCCTGGCTGGCTGGGGTTTCTGGGAGTTGCAGTCCAAGAACACCAGGGTGAGCCAAGGTTGGGGAACCACTGGTTTCTGCGGTAGATGAGCTAACTTGAGCCCATGGTTGCATGTCCTGCATTGGGAACCACTGGTTTCCAGCAACCCTAGTTGGGTTTCTGCGGTAGATGAGCTACCTGGCTTCCTATAACTTGAGCCCATGGTTGCCTGTCCTGCACTCTGGGATGATGGAGAACAGATCCGGCCCCCTCCTCTGTGTGACTGCCTTTCAAATATTTGAAAAGTGCCATCGTATCACCCATCCGTCTTCTTTTCTCAAGGCTAAACCTGCCCAGTTCTTTCAGGCTTTCCTCATCAGGCTTGGTTTCCGGCCCCATGATCATCCTTGTCATCTTCCTCTGATCATCATCCTGGTTGCCCTCTTCTGAACTCGCTCCAATTGGTCAGCATCCTTCTTAGAAATGCACTGTCCAAAACTGAACACAGGATTCTAGGGTGAAGCCTAACCAGTGCTGAATAGAAGGGAACTAGCACCTTGCGGGATTTGGAGATTGTACTTTTGTATATACAGCATATTTTAAAAAATTAATTATAATAAAAGCAAACAGCATTTCCATTGTTACACAACTATTAAAAAAAACACCAGTTGGTTTACAGTCTAAGCCATTGCAATTCAGAGAGTTAGGGATCTGATAGGCAACTGATTAGCATTTGTTTCAGGTACCCCTTGTTGTGTAGTAGATAGTGTGACTAAGACCCAGGAGAGCCGGCTTCAGTTCCCTGCTCATCTATGGAAACTGAGTGGGCTGTATGCTGGAACCCATCGAACCTCTTCTTAAAATCTCTCACCTGCCTTGATGGCCCGAGTGGGATGTATGCTGGAACCGATCGGACCTCTCCTTAAAATCTCTCACCTGCCTTGATGGCCCTGTCAGGGTGGCTCTATGTCAGTTCCAGCTGGATGGCCATAACAGGGCGGCTGGGGCCAGATGAAGCTGACTGGAGAGCCGGATTCTGTCTGTCTGTCATCCATCTCTGATCTGCCCCACCCGAGGAGTTTCCTTTAATGTCCAAGCAGAGGGTGCCTCTGACTCTGTCATTGGGGGGTGGGGGGTTCGAACCCCCAGCTTCAACTACCAGCTGCCTCTAGGCTTTCTCACATCACAACAGTCCCTAAGCAGTGAAGGCATTCTGGATCTTTGCGAGGTACTGCCGTCTTCAAGAAATAGCCCAATTTTTATGTACAGATGGGTTGTAGAGAGTAAAACCTCTAGAGAATGCAAGGTGGGGGCTCTAGGCATGCGCTGGCTCTTGGCATCTCACCGGATCACGTGTCTTGTCTGTGCCCGAAACACACCGTTCACAACTTGGAATCGTGACCACAACTTCTAAGCTAGCAAGGCTGGTGGTAGTGGTGACTCTGGCTGAGGGATTGCAGGAGGACCTAGCGGCCTGGTGGTAAATTTGGAAGTACTGGTGCTCCTTCTGTAAGTCCACATTAGCCACTCCTCCCACGAGCCTTTAGAACAGTGGTTCTTAACCTTTTTGAAAGGAACGCCCCCTTGAGGAAGTTATCATCGCCCCTCTCTTATTTCTTATTATATCTTGTTTGTTTGTTTGTTTGTTTGTTTGTTTAAGACACTTAAATCCAATCTGAGGGATTGCAGGAGGACCTAGCGGCCTGGTGGTAAATTTGGAAGTACTGGTGCTCCTTCTGTAAGTCCACGTTAGCCACTCCTCCCACGAGCCGTTAGAAGATGCAGGCAGTTGGATCAGACCCTGTCAGCAAATGAGGAGCGGGTCTTTTGCAGAGTTAACGGCTCTTAATTCCCCATTCAAACCCAAACCGCCCTCAAATACTTTCTGTGAGAAAGGAAATAGTTCAGAAGAATGCCCTGTTTCTAGGAGAATCCATTTCTCTCCTAGATCCTGTGAGGAAGGCTGCTATGCTTTGACGGAAGAAGGGAGCCCGGGGAGGGGGTGGTGAGCCCCCCAACAGCACTGATAGTAGCCCCAAAAGGAATTGTTCCATCCTCTGAGCTGCTGCTTCTACGGGAGGGCGACAGTTCTTGTGCCCCGTGTTGAATTTAAAACCCTCTGCTCCTCCACTGAGTCCACGGCCCTCAAGTTTCCCATCCTTGACGGGAAAGTTCTGCTTTTGGTGGATGGTCACCAAGGAGCAGGAACAAACCCCACTGTTTTCCCGCAAGCCGTGTAAATCTTTTCTAAATGCTCTGTAAGATGGATGAGCTGCTAAAATAAATGGGGATGGCATGTGGGATCATCTAAATTCCCCACTAAGCTGTTCCTGGCCATCTGTCAGCTGGAAGTTTATCCAAAGACGGGCTTTAGTAGAAACCAGCCCTTTCTTTCCCTCCCAAGTGGACTTTGAAGATGATCCGGGAACGATCGGTGTAGGTTTGCCTGCTTCGGACTCCTGAGTAGAATGCCCCGCTTACTCTGGAGTAAATGGAGGGTGAACACCTACCCCTTTCATAGCTCTGCGGAATAAGGAAGGAGGCTGGATAACCAAGGGGTCCCCTTCTAAATTTCCTGTTGTCGTCCTGTGTTCCCTTTCATGACGTGGGTGGCTACAATGTGCCAGGACAGGCGAGTGACCCAAAATGTCCCACATTCTCGGTATCTCTGGTTAGAATCAGGGGGGAAAAACTCATCTAGAACTGGAGAGTCCCTGTCATTGTGGGCGATACCAGGTTAGCTCATATCCTGGGAAAGTTACTTTTTAAAAAAACTCAGCCCTGCGGTTCTTTTTCACAAAATTAAAATTTCCAACCTCTGGCTTAGACCGAGACAGTTTCTACAGTGCACGGCATCTTCTGATGCAAGATGATAACTTTTCCAAGGTGTCTTCCCCACCATCATCAAGTAGGTCCCTGCCTGCCAAAATCTGAACACACGAACAACGGGACAGAAAGGAAGAGGGTCAGGGACAAAAGGAGATGAGAAGGCTCGCCATTTATTAATTTATTCATCGACTCTCTCTTCCTGTGAGTTCAATGTATTGTCTGGCTCTTCCCTACTTTATTCTTCACAACAGCCCTGTGAGGTACTTCGGGCTGAGCCTGTGCCTGGCCCAGGGTCAGCTGGTGAATCTCACAGGTGTTCCAGCCTAGAGTCGCTGAGCCCAAAACTTTGGAAAGTTAGGGTTTTTGGATTGTGATTCCCGGTATTCACTTCTCAGCTGTTGTAGTTCAGCAGAGTAACTTTGCTAAAGCTGATGCTGCAAAAGCTGTTTCCACTGGTGAAAATGCCACTTAAAACTTCAAGTGCTGCAAGGCTTCCTTTAAACACCTGGATTTGCAAGTTTTACGTGCATAGTATGAAGTTTTGCCACTGCAGATGAGCTTTGCAAGAAGTGAGCTGTCACCGCTGAATCCTTGGAATTTGCCAATGTACATTCGTCCAGAACAGTTTTCGGAGTGGTTGGCATGTTAGTGTGTGCCAGCATTTCAACAAGAAACACGTATATCCGTCCAGAATAGTTTTCGCAGTGGTTGGCGTGTTAGTCTGTGCCTGCATTTCAGCAACAACAACAACAACAACAACAACACACACACACACACACACACACACACAAATCAAAAGAAAAAAACAAAAAGATGTGGCATTTTAAAGACTAACTGCTATACGTATTTTAATGCAAGCTTTCGTGGAACACAGCCCACTTTTTCAGGCGTATAAGTCAGAATACAGAGACTGCTCATGGTAAAAACGTTTATAATGCCAGGCTCATAAGAGACAGTGGTGTTTGTTTGCATCTCACATCCAAGAATAATTTATGGCCCTGGCTGTTCTTTTGAAGTCTGGTTCTGTAAAACAGAGACAATAATTAAAGGAAACAACAGTGGAACAGCATGTGGTGATGTAGAGAACAGCAGACTTTACCCGTGAGGCTTTTCCTTAAAAGGTGGGTCTGGTAATTGTGGAAGAGGCCATAAACCATTACTGGTGTGAAATGCAACCAGCCACCACGGTCTCTTAGAGCCTTCTAGGAAGGTTTTGTGCTGTAGCAGTCGCTCGGCATTCTAACTCGTATGCCTGAAGAAGTGGGCCGTGTTCCATGAAAGCTTCCATCAAAGTCTAGCAACATCTTTTTGCTTTTGAATGGAATCCCAACCTGTCCCTGACTTTGGTTCAGGTGAGGAGAGTCCCTAACCTGCGGAGGGAAAGGGCTGGAGGGGGCCCCTGAGAGGCCAAGGGGAGCCACAAGGCAGTGCGTGATGAAGCCGAAGGATGCTCCCCGATGAGGACTTTATTATATTTACAGAGTGTTATGGGAAAGTTCCAGGTTCTCGGTCTTTCCCTTTCCCTTGCTTTGTTTACTTGTCACTTCATATTTTGCGGGGAAAATTCCACCCTGCCTTTTCTTTGGGTTGCCCACCTGCAAGCCCTGTGAGAAAGACTGGCGCACGCGTCTGTGGCATGTCTTCACTGTTTACGTGGCAGGGGCCTCTAAGGTACCACATCCTACTTTTTTGTTCTCATGCATGGATGCTTTAATTTATCTCCTTTTGGTTCTGAACTTGTACGCGCAGCTTGGCAAAGCCCAGGCCAAAACAAAAAAACAAAAAAAACTTGCTTTGACGGACAGGGTAAAGACTGTTAGAATAAATTAAAAATCGGCCGAGAAACCGCGTCGTCTGGTAGCCAGATGCTTGCCGATAGCAGAGGATGTTGTTCCAGGCTTAAAAACAAATGTGTGCAGCTTTCCAGCAGGTGATAAAACCCGCTTGTAAAACTCACGTCTGGGCTGGGCTAGTTTACTGATGTTGCCCCTGTGTTTCTGGGACTTCCCGACAGCTCACGGTCTACCTTGGCAAGAGGGACTTCGTTGACCACATAGATGTTGTCGATCCAGTTGGTAAGTGGATATTTATTTTATTTTATTTTATTTAAAATATATCTGCCCTGCCTTTCTCTTTAAAAAAAAACACAAGCCGGCTTGCATCCTTAAAAAACAATATTAAAGCTGGCCACAGTGAGCACGCAAATGCTAAAAAAAAATCAAAACATATACTAAAAGGCATAAACAAGCTGACCACAGTGAGCACGCAAATGTTAAAAAATATCAAAACATATACTAAAAGGCATAAACAAAGCCAAAGCATATTCCAAGCCGTTAAGGTACAACAACAATCTGTTTAAAAATCCCACTCAGGCAAAGCCGTTAAGGTACAACAACAGTCTGTTTAAAAATCCCACTCGGGCGATTAAAAGAAAGGTGGTTTGAAGAGAAAAAGGTCTTTTATTCTGCTTGCGGAAGGACAGCCGAGGATTAAAAGAAAGGTGGTTTGAAGAGGAAAAGGTGTTTTATTCTGCTTGCGGAAGGACAGCCGAGATGGGGCCCAACTGGCCTCCAGTGGCAGGGAGTTCCAGAGTCTAAAGGAGCAGCCACCGAGAAGGCCCCTCTCTCTCGTGTCCGCACCAAACGTACCTGTGAAGGTGGCGGGACTGAGATAAATGATGCCTCTCATCATCTTAACATTCAGATGGGCTCATCAAAGGAGAGACAGATAGCTTGGACCCAAGCTGTTTAAGGCTTTACAGGGCTAGACTTTACATAGACCAGATAGCTCAGGGGTGGGGGTCTCTGGCTGCAGAGCCAGAGGTTGGGAGCCCCTCCCTGGGAGAAGAGCCAGCCTGTGTAGCCATGGGCAAGCTGCATGGTGGTCCCCCGGCACTCCCAGAAGGAAGCCACTTCTGACCCCTCTTTGTACCTCAAAAACCCTGAGAAGGGCCACCATCGGTCAGTATCAACTTGACAGAGTGTGATTATTAAAGAGGAATTAAGACTGAGCATTCAGAACCACGATAACGTGGCCCAAGCAGGCTCCCGAACAGACGGAGGACGAACCAAGGTTGTCTGTAGTCTCCAGCCGGAACAACTGTCTGCCTTCCGACCGGGAGGCACCCCACCGTCTTCTGCTTCCGTTCCGTTCCCCTTGAATATCAGCCCCGAGGCGAGGGAAGGCCACGAGATGCAAGATCCTGGTTAAGGTGCAATTCCATGATGGGGAAAAAAAACATGGGCACAAATATAGTGAAGTATGAAAACAACGGGGACGTCTTTCCATCAGAATTTGCCGAGTAACTTCATATGTTTCCGCCTGGGTCTGCCAAATCTCCAGAGGTTACTTCTGAAATTATTTTGTTCCTGTTACTCCTCATGGGGTTTGAAAAGTAACAACTGTGTTTTTCCATGTATAAGACGCTCCCATGTATAAGATGCCCCCCCACTTTTCTAACCCCAAATTAAGAAATCTAAGTGGGGCTTAGCAAGTGGAGGGGGAAAGGGATCAAAGCGCTGCAGGATCCCTGCTTTCCCCTCCACTTGTTTTTGTTCTCTCCTCAGCTTACTTCCGTGTATAAGACGACCCTTAATTTTTAGTCTAAAGATTTTAGACAAAAGTATAGTCTTATACACGGAAAAATACGGTAGTTGATTTTTTTTTTTTACCAAAGGCTCCAACATTCTGACCAAATTTTATAGCGCAGCCATCCTTTCCCGGGTGCAAATAATTTCCTTTTGCAAGGCTCTGTGCTTGCGATGTTTCTAGCGCTCTTGGATTAATTACCGAGAGGAGCAGAACACATTTTATTCCTCGTTCTCTCCAGTCCTCTGGGTCCCTCTTGTTGACGCTGGGTGTTTTATTATATTCCAAGCTTCCCCTCCCCCGCCCCCATATTTAATTACAGCTCTCCCTTTGATTGCACATTAAGCAAGTAACAAAAACCTTTTCCCGACTGCTCGTTTCTTCTCCCTGGACGTTTTCAGAGTCTGACTCATTCTCGCTCCAGACTTCCTTCCCCGGAGATCCTCGCACTGATTTCACATCCTCCAGGTTCTCATGATCTCCTGGCCTCCCTTCTTCCATCTAAAGAAACAAATGAACTGGAGCAGGCTTAGGAGGGCGGGGGGAAACCCTTCCAAATATCACCCAGGATTAGCCGTGCTTATTTATTTATTCATTCATTCATTCCATTTATACCCCGCCTATCTGGTCATTTTGACCACTCTAGGTGCTTCTGATCTTGGGGTTTCAGCCCAATTTCCTGGCCCACCTGCGTCCTTTGCTTGCCTTTTCCCTTCCAGTGGCTTCCTGAGCCACAGGCCGGCTCGCTCTCTGCGATTCTGAGACTCGGTGGCTTTCGGAAGTGGCGTCGGACTGCAGTGCGGGGATGGCTCGGGGGGGGGAACGGCTTTGGCCGAACGCCGCCTGCTCCCCCAGGGGACGTGGAGTCCGAAGGTCTGTGCATTTGAAGAAGAGCCTTCTCGTCTTTAAACGCTTCTGCCAAATCAAACATCTTTAATAATCATCCTCAAGTGCTTGGTTTCCTTGGTTTTCCGGAGAGTGAATCCTCAAGAAGTGGTTCCCTATTCCCTTCTTCTGGGGGCCGCTCTGAGATGGATATGCAGCTTGCCCAAAGCGACCCAGGCTGGCTCTTCTCCCAGGGAAGTGATGGAACTCCTGGCTCCGCAGCGGCATACGTACTTAAACCACTGAGCTATCCAGCCCATTCAAACCTCTTTAGTACCCCATTAAACCCCTTGACTAGGGAAGGATGAGAACAGGACTTGCCATTTAACCAGAGCCAGGCAGAGTTTCCCTTTTACAGTACAACTTTCATAATCTCCCAGCCACATGGATAGTGGCCGTGCTGCCAGGGGATTCTGGGAATTGTAGTCCTGGGGGGGGGAAAACTCTGGACTGAACAGCCACCACTGATTGCAGGATCCCATGAACGCTCCTCTTTCCCAGTACTGAGCTTCTGTTGACGCTCATCCTTTTCTCCTGTTTGCCCCCCCATCCTCTGCCCTCATGCCCCCCACCCTCTATTAAGACCAAAGTCCTCCTGCTTCGTGATATTCAAAACCAAATGGCTTTTCCTCGTTTGGTGCCGCTTGACGCCATTCCTGTGATCGCCCGCTGTCACTCCTACATTCACCTACATGTGTATGAATTGGTTTCGCCGGAGAGCCGGATCACCAAAGCTTGGAGAACCCCCCTTTATTTTTGCACCCCAGCTCCTCATGTCCGTGATGGCTGAGCAGCTCGGGAAAAGGGATTTCTGGTGATCCTTCAAAGGAACTGGGAATTTCATCCTTTATTTCTCTCTTTGTTCCTTTTACAGATGGTGTTGTGCTGGTGGATCCAGAATACCTGAAAGAGAGGAAAGGTAACAGTTTTTTTCCTTTCGGTAGTATGCATAGAAAACAAACCACAGTAGAATCCTAGAACGATGGAGTTGGAAAGGGGCCCGTGAGGCCATCCAATCCAACCCCCTGCTCAAGTCAGGGGTCCAAGTCAAAGCAGATCCAACCGACGGACGGGTCCAGTTTTCTTTCGGTTGCCTCCATCGTATGTGTCAAAGCACCCGGACGGTCACAGCCATCCGGCTGGAGGAGGCTTCTGCCCTGCAGAAGTTTGAAGCCCCCGTTCGTTCGGATCCTCCTCTTACGCCGCGCCTTGCTTCTTCCCCTCACAGTTTTCGTGACGCTGACCTGCGCCTTCCGCTACGGCCGCGAGGATTTGGATGTCCTGGGCCTGACCTTTCGCAAGGACCTCTTCGTAGCCAACATCCAGGCTTTCCCCCCGGTCCCGGAGGAGAAGAAACCCCTGACGCGGCTCCAGGAACGGCTGATCAAGAAACTTGGGGAACAAGCCTACCCTTTCACCTTCGAGGTGTGAAATCTTTCTCCTTTTTTCCGGGTCTCCCCAGTCAGGGGGAGGGTGGCCTTCCCATGGATGTCCTTCCAAGTGAGGCTTAGGTGGCTGGGATCGGTCCTCTTGGGTAAGAAAGCAGAGCAAGCCAGCTCCCGGAGGTTCGGGGAGGGGGTCCTCTTTTTTTTAGCCCCACAGACCTTCCGTGGGCTGCACTGACCCTTCACCCCAAATAAAACTGGAAGTGACCCAAAGTCGATTTCTGTTTCCCCGAAGCCACTCTTTAAGGGTCAAACTAGGCAGGGTGGCTCGTACCTTGTTTTAAAAAGAGGACCGCTGGCCTCGGACGTGTCCAAAAGCCGAAATAGTGCACAAAACCAGGTGGCGCTCTCAGGGACACACGCCGTAGTGGAGTTTTAAAATGACAGCCATCCGCGTTAGGGCTTCAATCGCCCACTGGACCTGGGATGGAAACAGAGCGGCAGGGAAGACCAGCATGGGTGATGATGATGGTGATGATGATAGGGGTGGGAGCCGCTCCAGTGGCTCCATTTTTGCCATGTGCAGGTTGAACGGCCAAAGAGGAGCCTCGGTGGCTGCCCTGATCCCAACCCTCTTAGGAGAGCCGGGAAGCCTCCCAGCGCTGGCCGACGAGCTGGAAGGGAGAGGCATGCCATGAAAACGGGACCCCTTTCCTGTGCAAGCTGGGCTGGGCCTGCTTTGCAGACAACCTGCAGGAGGACGCTTCGGGGCAGGCTACTTTTGGCGCGTCCTCCCTCCCTGAGCTGAGTGAACCCCAAGGTCTGTTTCGTCCAGCATCATATCCAGACACCCCTTGTGGGGAGATCACAAGTGGTGCAAGGCGGTGGTCGCCCTTCTCTGTTGCTTGAGATCCTCAGATACACTGCCTTGGGACATGGAAAGTTCTTCATCCCTGATTGTCATGGGTCGACTCCGAGGAGACGCCGGCCAGCTTTTGGACGACAGTTTCCAAAGCCTTTAATTCATGGGCTGAACCGTAGTCATCTAAAGTTCTAGGACTGCTGTTCCCCAGAAGGCTTGATCACCAGCTGTGCCGGTCGGGGATTCTGGGAGTTGTAGTCCAGGAACAACCTGAGTGACCCAAGTTTGATAACCACGGATCTAAAATGTGGGGTGAGATTTTTGTCTGTCTGCTTCTTCTGAATTGCCTGGTGCAATTCTCTGTCCAGGAGTCTGGCTGCCTCCTTTAATCAAAAGGCCCCGATCCTTTAACTTTTCCATGTAAGGGAAGCATTTCAGCCCCTTGGTTGATTTTGAGACCGCGAAACGTCACAAGGACACAAGGCAACCTTGCCACGTGGAAATTTACGGTGAGCAATTGACGTTGGTGTGTACGATGCCGGACGCACCCTTTCTGGGGTTGTTAAAGTTTCCTGCAAGACCTCAGCTCTCCTGGCCAGCCTGAGGACGTGGTCCTTCATGGGTCCCTTTTCTCCTTCCCATTTCAGATCCCGCCCAACCTTCCCTGTTCGGTGACGCTGCAGCCGGGACCGGAGGATACAGGAAAGGTAGGAGGAGAGGGTTGCGTGTGTAGGAAGGGCCCTCAGAACAGAAGGTGAGGGAAGGGCGCTGTCTCTCTCTTTGTCTCTTAGTTCCATATTTATTAATCATTTCCCAAGCAATCTCAAAACACTGTCCAGAAAGGTACAAACGGTCTTAAAACAGATTGCAACCCATTTTTAAAAAGCCAGCTTCATGAACCAAAGCGGTGGCAACAGACGGCGCCGTGGCTGTTGTGAAGAATACCGTGGACTGGGTCAGCCTCGGATTCTGATCCCGCTTTGGGACTCTTTTCGTGGTCAGAAAGGGTGCTGGGATATGGCCAACCCTGTTGACGTCGTCCTGCTCTTTTCTGTCTGCTAGGCGTGTGGCGTGGACTACGAGGTGAAAGCCTTCTGTGCTGAGAATTTGGAGGAAAAGATTCACAAGAGGTGAGCCGGGCCAGATGGAGTGCCGGTTTTGGGCTTCTTTCTTTCTTTCTTTCTTTCTCTTTTCGTGGTCAGAAAGGGTGCTGGGATATGGCCAACCCTGTTGACGTCGTCCTGCTCTTTTCTGTCTGCTAGGCGTGTGGCGTGGACTACGAGGTGAAAGCCTTCTGTGCTGAGAATTTGGAGGAAAAGATTCACAAGAGGTGAGCCGGGCCAGATGGAGTGCCGGTTTTGGGCTTCTTTCTTTCTTTCTTTCTTTTCTTCTTTCTTTCTTTCTTTCTTTCTTTCTTTCTTTTCAAACGCTACTGCACAGAGCCCCGCTTTTGTGGGTCTCACTTTAGACTTGAGGGTAGGAGTGGTCAAAAAAGAAAGGAACTTCTGCCAGCTTGGATGTTTACTTGGAAGGGGTGTCTCCCGCTCTCTCTAAGCTCTGTTGGAGTTATGAAAGCACCGAAGCTGCAAACCTAGTTTAAACACCAGTTCAGGAATCAGGCCAAACAAGGAGCAGCAGCCACCTGGGGTTACGGATGCCCATGGAGGGTGGTGGGCGGGTGCTGGGGGTGCCGTCACTGTGAAGGCCAGTCCTTTTCCCTTATCACTGGAGAGCCCCCCTCCCCTCCCGGCGGCCTCTTTCTCTTGGAGGGCAAAGTTTTCCGGTGCCCCTTGAGCCTCTCTGTGGACCGAAAGCTTCCTTTTTTCCTGTCCTCAGCCTAGGGCTCTTTGGGCGATCTCGCTTGATTAACCCATAGGTGTTGGCGCACAATCTCTTTGCACCGGCGTTACCTGCGATCTGTAAGGGCCATGTGCAATCCCAAACATAAGGCTGAAAATGGTGGTGGTTGTTTAGTCGTTCAGTCGTGTCCGACTCTTCGTGACCCCATGGAACAGAGCCCGCTAGGCCCTCCCGTCTTCCACTGCCTCCCGGAGTTGGGTCAAATTGGGCGGGGGGGTTGGCTGTGGAGGTGGGGGGGCCAAAGCCATTTAGGAAACTGTTCCTGGCCTGCCACATCAACATTGCCTGTCCTGTCAATGATGTCTGGTTCCACAGGAATTCGGTGCGCTTGGTGATCCGGAAAGTGCAGTATGCGCCGGAGCGCCCAGGACCCCAGCCCATGGCGGAGACCACCAGGCAGTTCCTCATGTCCGATAAGCCCCTCCACCTGGAGGCCTCCCTGGACAAAGAGGTATTGTGGGGGCCTTTTCAACCCCCAGACCCTTTTCAGAAGTAATTCGTTCTACACTTCAGAAAGTAATCTGCGGCTCCTACTCATTACAGCACTTTAAAAATAACTCATTATGTTACTTTAGATATGAACTTCTTGCTTTCCCATTTCGTTGGTTGGTTGGATGGATGGATGGATGGATGGATGGATGGATGGATGGATGGATGGATGGATGGATGGATGGATGGATGGATGGATGGATGGATGGATGGATGGATGGATGGATGGATGGATTGGATGGATAGATGGATGGAGTGAGAGATAGGATGGATGGATGGATCAAACAAACGAACGAATGAACGAACAAACATAACCTGCCCATTTTGTAGGCAAGCCACTCAAACGAATGAATGAACGAACAGAGTTATAACCTGCCCATTTTGTAGGCAAGCCACTGCTCTGGGCGGCTTCCAAGAAAACAATATAACTATATTAATTTAGATAATAAACATATTTTTTAAAAAAACCATAAAACCTTCAATCTAGTAAATATTCCAAGACTCAGGATGGTGAACCATGGGTTAGATTTTTAGCAGCAAGGGGGATACTGATTCAAAATAGCATAAAATGCCCACTGTTCATTTATTTTCTGTAACTTTTTTTTGTTGGAGGAGTAGAATTATCAAGAGAATGGCATAAAACTTGAACAATGGTTGCTCAAATGCTTCTTAAAGTTGTCCCTTAGAAGTAAATAGAATACCTTTCAAGAGTAAAGAGAAAATGCTTTGTAAGAGTAAAGAGAGAAAAAAGAGTTTAAAAAAAAACTTTTTAAGAGTAAATAGAAAATTTGTTATACCAGTAAAGTAGCTTTTCTGATACTTGTGATAATTTTGAAATATAATTTCACTACAACCTTGTTGTTCCTCAAAAGTAACTAAGCACAGGAGAATAGTTATTTACAGGTCTTACTTTCCATTTGAATTTGTGCACATGTGCTGGATGGAGATCACAAGACAGAGAGAGAAAAAGCGGGGTTAGCCGTTTTCCTCTCCGCCTTAATGCTTCGGTGGATTGTGCCCGAAGGGGGGAAAAAACAAGATGTTGTCCTAATGAATCTATCCTATTTTGCCACAGAAGGACTTTGCTGATGTAGCGTACTGTAGTATATAATTTATCCCATATTATCTTTGGGGCAAGGGAACCATGTCCCTAAGAAGCAGAAGAAATCTATTCTAGGCTGTTCCTAGGTTGACCCCATTCAGGGGAGAATTTCCAGTGGATTTAGGGAGTACAGTGGTGCCTCGCATTACGTTAATTCGTTCCAGCGAAATCGCTGTAGAACGAAAACGTCATAATGCGAAAATAAAAAGCCCATTGAAATGCATTGAAACCCCTTCAATGCCTTCCAGTGGGCTGGAAACTCACCATCCATCGAAGATTCTCCATAGGGCGGCCATTTTCGGTGCCTATGAAGTGAAGAATCCGTCCCAGAAAACAGTGGGTAGCCATTTTATTTACCTGGCGGCCATTTTGAAACCGCCGATCAGCTGTCTGAAAATTGTCGTTTTGCGAAGAATCGGTTCCCGAAGCAGGTAACCGATCATCGCACAGCGAAAAACCCCTATTCAGACCATCGTTTTGTGATCGCAAAAGCAATCGCAAAAATGTCGTCGTAATGCAGTTTTATCGTAATGCGGGGCACAACTGTAAAAGAAAAGTCTGCCTTTAACCCCAACTCCTAACCCTTCTTTCTGCGAAGGCTGGAGACGTTGGGATTTGTGGGGAACCGGAAAATATCCCGATTCTCCCAGTGAAAGCTTTCTTTGCTGGCTTGGATGACGGTTAAGGACCACCTGATTCTCTTGCTTTCGCCTCCCTGTAGATCTACTACCATGGGGAGCCCATCAACGAACTGTACAAGAAAAGTCTGCCTTTAACCCCAACCCCTGACCCTTCTTTCTGCGAAGGCTGGAGACATTGGGATTTGTGGGGAATCGGAAAATATCCCGATTCTCCTGGTGCAAGCTTTCTTTGCTGGCTTGGATGACGGTTAAGGACCACCTGATTCTCTTGCTTTCGCCTCCCTGTAGATCTACTACCATGGGGAGCCCATCAACGTCAACGTCCACGTGACGAATAACACCAACAAGACGGTGAAGAAGATTAAAATCTCAGGTGAAAATTGGAGCATATTTTTTTCTCTCTTTAACTCTCTCTTTCCTACCCTTTTGACGAGAAAATGGCTGCTTGAAGAAGCCGCTTAGATAGACAGACTGGAAGCCTTGACAGCCAACCCACTGGCCCAGGACCGCCGGCCATTAAAAGGCCCACTGCCCTTTGGCCTTCGGTTCAGGCCGGCTTCGCCACCACTTATGACAGAAAGAGGTGGCAGGTTGCAAAAAGGTGCATAGAAGCTGGATACACCTTGAAGAAAAGCTATTTATTTCATTTTTTTTATTTTATTTATTTGTTTGATTTATATCCCACCCATCTGGTATAGTCTACCACTCTGGGTGGCTCTCTTCTCAACTAGTTCACAACTTTAGAAAGAAGAGGCAGGTTGCAAAAAGGTGCATAGAAGCCTTGACTTTACATAAGTATCAACTCTTTGTTCAGCACACAGTTCAATACTCTTCTCAACTAGTTCACAACTTAGCTCTGCCTACAAAATTCACCAGCCTGAACCCCATTGGTAGGGCCATTGAATCTATGGACTTTACATAAGTGTCAACTCTTTGTTCAGCACACAGTTCAATAGATCTGCTCCAGTTTCGAGTACCGGTTGGAGGCAGGCCCGGAATTTAGCCTTTCCCTTAATTGGGATTTTGTTTTAAATGGCTACCAAGTTTCTAGCCCTCAAGAGGCAGTGCTCTTCTTTCCCTGTGTTATGGTAGCAAGCCATCTCTCACACATCTGTGTTGCTTGTCAAATGGCCTTCCAGAGAGATGCTCATCCAGGGTTCGGGGAGGAAAAAAACACTCTGTTGGGACTACAGTTTCCAGAATCCCCACTTTGACTGGGAGATGTTGGCCAAAAGAGGCAGTGCTCTTCTTTCCCTGTATTATGGTAGCAAGCCCTCTCTCAAATGGCCTTCCAGAGAGATGCTCATCCAGGGTTCGGGGAGGAAAAAAACACTCTGTTGGGACTACAGTTTCCAGAATCCCCACTTTGACTGGGAGATGTAGTCCACTCATTAACTTTCCCGAGCTCTGTCAGCTGCTGCAGCACCTATTCCATTAGCATTTCAATGAGGCAGGAAGAGTTTTCTGCCTCCCCAGGGCTTCATGTAAGCACCGCTGACTTCACAGGCTTGAATTTTCTAAGCCATTGTGAGTTGTTGGCTGAGTTTTTGGTCCTTGCGGTTTTGTTCTCCGAGAGCGCTGCGCTGTGTTATTGTTTTCTTCTCTCTTTGTCTTGCCTTACCCACTCTGGAGAGTGTCAAGGGAATGTCACTGGATTGCAGGATGTTTATTTGAGAAATAAATAAAAGCGTTCAATCAACTTTCTTAGTTGATACCATGGTTGCTATGGGGTTCTGGGACTCTTGACCGCTGCAGGCCTGCCCTTCTGGTGTGTGTGTGTGTGTGTGTATGTGTGTGTGTAAAAGTGCAATGCTCATGCCTTCTTTGCTTCCTCTCATTCTCCTTTCCTGCTTGGTTTCCAGTACGCCAGTATGCAGACATCTGCCTGTTTAACACAGCCCAGTACAAGTGCCCTGTGGCCGTAGAGGAAGCAGAGTGAGTATTCGTCGCACAGCACGGTCAGTTTCTGCACGCCCTTGCCCCCTCCCCCCTGGATCCCTGCCCTCAAAGAGCATACAGTGGGCAGAAAGGAAGAAGGGAGGCACTAAAAATGATTTTCCCAGGGCACAGCCGTCTCGGTCATTTGCCGCAAAAATCACAGTGTGGCACCTTCCAAACACTCCGATAGATTTCAACCTGGGCTCCTCTGCCCTTTTCCCTCTGAAAAAAGGAAGGTGGTTTTGCCTGGAGGTTTCCCATCCCCCAATCCGTGTGTCTGCAGAGAATAGCGTGCATGCAGATTTAAATACAGAATTCTCATCCGGGAACATGGCATCGACGTAAACATCTCAGTCGTAGGTGGTACCCAGGCATCAATTTGTAATCCAATGTCGGAGTGATGTCTCTTGCCACTTGAGAACATATTTAAAACCATTGTGGTGTGCATGAGTCACTTCTTAATGCTTTGCAGTGTGTGCTAAGAAGCCATAATCCTGCTTCAGCGCTTTGTGGATCTACTCTAACTATCATCTTAATTCAACTACGGCTTCAGGCTATATAATCTTCCTTTGAAATTATTTTGTTGCCTGATAGCCATTTTGAGGTCAGGGATAAAGAATCCTGAGATACTGCTTCTGAGTTTTGTGTGTACTGCCACATGTCATGCCCCATCTGAGTCCGTGTATTCATTTTCACGGGCTAATCCCATTTTCCTTGTTTACGTTCGATTTTACAGTGGTGCCTCGCTAGACAGTTACCCCGCATGACAGTTTTTTCATTAGACATTGACTTTTTGCGATCGCTATAGTGATTCGCAAAACAGTGATTCCTATGGGAGAATTTCGCTGGACAATGTTTGGTCCCTACTTCACAAACCAATTTTCACTAGCCGACAATTTTGACAGCTCCCTCCGTGCTCATAAAACGGGTGTTTTCGGGACCTAAGCTTCACAAGACAGCGATTTAAACAGCTGATTGGTGGTTTGCAAAGCAGCTTTCCTATGGCTGATCTTCGCTAGACAACGACGATTCTTCCCCATTGGAACGCATTAAACAGGTTTCAATGCATTCCAATGAGGAAATACTTTTTGCTAGACAATCATTTCGCTAAACAGCGATTTCAGTGGAACGGATTATCATCGTCTAGCAAGGCACCACTGTATTAAGAATGGGGACAAAGACTTGACCCTTGGGTGATGTTGGGAAGCTCACCCTTTCCTCTACCTGAGTTCATGCTTCTGTGCTCAGCTCAGAGATGTGGTGTAAACAGCAGCAGTAATCACGGCATGGGGGAAAGCATCATGAATAAAATGGTCCTTTGGTTTAGCATCTAATATAATAATTCTCGGAAAAGCAACAGGAGAATAAGCCGACCGAGTATGAAATGGATTGACTTCATAAAAGAAGCCACAGCCTTAGGTTTGCAAGACCTGAGCAGGACTATTTAATGAGATTCGTTTTGGGAAGTTGTTGTTTTATGGGATCACCATGACGCGGATGTGACCTGATAGTGCCGAATGACGAAGGGCACAGCAAAATTGCTTTGAGGCAGCTGGAAATGAACAGGGATCGGGTTTTTTTCCCCCTGAACTGCATTGACCGGCCATGATTTAGTAGCCGAGCTTAGGAAAAATCTGTGGAATTCTGGAAATTGCAGGCCAAAACATACCGTTCCCAAGCCCTGCTCCATGGCTGAGCCCTGGTTTGCATTCAGAAGACCTGTGAGGTTCGACCTGGGTCAGCTCCCCCCAGTTTTTTGCATTAAGAGGGCTGGAAGAGAGAGAGCCCAAGCAGACATCCAGAAGAAGACATGCTGAGCAGGGAGCCACATCCCGGTTGGGTCTAAAAGGGTGCAGAATTTAAAAATTCACACACACCCCAAAGTTTGCTCTGAAAAAAAACACACACCCCGGTCTCTGGCCGGTTTGTGAAAAACAGCTGAATCGTGGGATTCCTTTCGTCCACCCTTTTTCTGCTGGAGAGGTATTGTTTACACCATGGTAGGAAGCCTCTGAGTTCATCGTTATCATCATCACCTTAGAACTGTAGAGCTGGAAGGGACCCTCGGGGTGATGCTGGTCCAGCCCCTGCCAAGGGGGGCCCAGTGGGGGTCTTGAACTCCCAACCTAGATGCCTAACTCGCTGAGCTATCCAGTCATTGCCCAGGTGGGTTCTTGAAGCTGCAAAGAAAGCTTCAGTTGAGTATATATATTTTTTCCCACCCTGATTTTCTGTCCCTGATGAAAAATGTAGTTGTGACAAAAAGATGCAAGAAAGCAGTGGTTCCCAACCTCGGTTGACCCCGGTGTCCTTGGACTGCAACTCCCAGAAACCCTGGGCAGCACAGCTGGTGGTGAATTCCTTCTGGGAATTGCAGTCCGGGGTTAACCGAGGTTGGGAACCGCGGAACTAATATGGCATTTTAAGAAGGCTGGAAGAGAAAAGGTGGCCTGCTGTCATTTTACTGATCTGGGCTTTTTTTTTCTACCTGCAGCGACGTGGTGGCCCCCAGTTCAACGTTTTGCAAAGTCTACACACTGACCCCGTTCCTTGCCAACAACCGGGAGAAACGGGGCCTCGCGTTGGATGGGAAGCTGAAACATGAAGACACCAACCTGGCCTCGAGCACGCTGTGAGGCTTCCTTCCCACTCAGCACCTGGGACAGGCCGGGGTGGGGTAGGGGATCTCACACCACTGGGGCGGTGGTAAATTTATAAATGCAGGTAGCCCTTCTCACAATCCTCATTGCCACCTCCATCGGAAGAAGAGTCCGAACAAGCAGACAATTGAGTTCGGCCATATCGGCAAATGAAGGGCAGGTCTTTTGTAAAGTTAATGACTCTTGAGTTGCCTGTTGAAGATGCTAGCTAATCTCAGAGGGAACAGGGAAACCTGAAGGGGTGGTAGATGAAGTCATACCCCCCTGTGGTTCAGAAGGTCTTTGGGGTTTGACCCAGGGAACTCTGGCCTTACACTGCTGGATCTCACATGAGCATGTTCACAGAAACACAGATAGGTACCCTGTTACACCCAAAAATAAGACCTAACCTGAAAATAAGCCCTAGTAGGATTTTTCAGGATGCTCGTCATATAAGCCCTACCCCAAAAATAAGCCCCAGTTCAATGAAACCCCGCCCTTCTCCCTTGTGCAGCAACCAGAAGATGACCTGACTATATTTGAATAAATGTAGATTGTTATACATGAAAAAATTAAAACATCCCCTGAAAATAAGACCCAATATGTTTTTTGGAGCAAAAATTAATATAAGACCCTCTCTTATTTTGGGGGAAACATGGTATTGTTTCCCAAAGAAGACCTTTGGGGTGAGCTGGGTGGGTTGGCTCATAGATTCCAGGAATAGTTCACGGTGTACAACAATGCCTCTGTGATCATTGTTTGCAATTGTAAATATCGCCTTTTAATGATGTTAACCACTGTTGCATACTTACTGTTTCCACCTTTAAATATGGTCTTTCATTGTTTGTAAGCTGCCTCAGGTCGTTTTCAAAGGAGAAAGGAAGGGTACAAATATTTTAGGTAGGTATGTAGGTATGTAGGTATGTAGGTATGTATGTATGTATGTAGGTAGGTAGGTAGGTAGGTAGGTAGGTAGGTAGGTAGGTAGGTAGATGATAGACAGACAGACAGACAGACAGATAGGGAGGGAAGGAAGGAAGGAAGGAAGGAAGGAAGGAAGGAAGGAAGGAAGGAAGGTAGGTAGGTAGGTAGGCAGGTAGGTAGGTAGGAGATCAGTCGGTTGGTCGGTCAGTCCGTCTTCCTGGAAAAGTAGGATTTTTCACTTGTTCCCAGAAGGCCAGAGGTAAGAATCTGCCTGACTTTATTGGGACCTTGTGGCGCAGAGGTGCATCTCAAACCAGGGTGAGCCATCTGCCATCTGCCAGAAGTGGCATCTTCTTCCACTCTTGCACCCAACGGGGCAGACGTTGGTGGGTGTTGTGGGGCACCGGCTCACCTCCCTTGGGGAACTAAACCAGCGTTGGTATACACACACACCCTTTTTTTTTTTACTACAGCAAATAGAATTTTCTTCCTTTTTGAACTGTAAATATCAGAATTGCGCTAGTTTTTAAAATTTATGTCATTTATTTATTAGGCTTCTCGGTTGCCTGTCTTAGTGGAACACAACTTGGGATGGTTTACATACTTAAGCAGAATGAATTGACAACTAAAATAAATAAAAGAAAGGAGGACATAGTACCACAACCTAAACAGAAACAGGACGGTGACGGAGGATTGCCATCTGGCGGCTTAAGGGAGCCCAGTTATATAAACTATAACATAGCAAACAAAATGTCCAGTCGTATAATAAAATTAATCAATAAAAGCAATAGTCTGTGGGTCTCAAAAATCAGCCTAGGATGTGGCCAAAGGCCTTCTTAAAAAATTCGGTTTTTATTGATCCTCTGAAGATAAGCAGGGAAGCGGCCTGTCTAGTTTCCATTGGATGTGTATTCCTCAGCAAGGGTGCCACTGCTGAAAAAGCCCGGGTCCTAATATTATGTTTTCCTTCTTTGCCTCCGGGTAGGTACCTTTAGCAGTGCAGCCTGAGATAACGGGTTGAACAGGTAGAGATACCTGTGGGGCGCGGCACTCTTGACAGGCAACGAGGTCCCCAACCATTCATAGGGCTTCATAGGTCGTAACAGACACCATAAATCTGACAATGTAGCCAGCAGAGAGCCAGTGCAGATTAGCCAGAGTCAGGGAAACATGATCAAAGCTCTAAGCCCCTGACATTAATTAACCTGGCTGCCGCATTCTGGACCTGCTGCCCTTTCCGTATCATCTTCAAGGGAAGACCCAGGTAGAGAGCATTACAGTAGTCAAGCCTCGAGAGTACCAATGCATGGATCAAGGTCTTCAGGGATCTTCCATCCAGATAGAGGTGCAACTGGGTTATATACATCTACTAGTTGTAGTCCAATACTGTACACACACACACAGACACACATATGTATATATAGTGTATGGTGTTTTTTTTAAAAAAATAAATACATAAATTCTGGTAGTGGTCCAAAAAGTGGCTTTTCCAGTGCTTTGCACTAGATCCACCAAGGGATGCGCCTGCTTCCGGATGGAGGCTGGCTTGTCCATCCTTGCTTTCCAGGCGGCCTGGTCAAAAGCCTGCTAGAGCCCTCCCTTTCTGTTTCATTTTTTTTTCTACTACAAATTTTGAACCAAGCAAGCTTGCCTTTCGGACGTTATACGGACCTGGCGGTGGGAATGCCGCTTGCACTGTTCCACACCCACTTCTTTTATCATCCTTTGGTCGCTAGAACCCCATCCACTTCTATGGCGGCTTGCCGAGGTTCTTAAGCAGTAAAATATAAACCAGATCTCTGCTCCCAGGAGCTTACAGTAAAGGATGATCATCACAGGGGCGAGGGCATCTTCCTAGATGCCTTGAAAAGGGGGGTGGGACAGATTCCTGGAGGAAAAACCCATTGGGCAGGTTGCAACCCATGAGGGAGATGTATCATCTCCAGGCTTAAAAGGAAGCACTTCCAAATGCCAAATACAGGGGAAGGAGATCAGGAGACAGTTATATCTAGTCATAGTGGGGGGCTCCCAGAGGCATCTGGTGGGGCCACGATGAGAGACAGGGAGCTGGACTAAGAGGGGCCCTTGGCCGGATCCAGCACAGGGCTCTTCTCCTTAAGTTCTTACAGTATAGAATCGACAGTGAGGAAGACAGCAGGGGAAAGCAGGGACCGAGGCAGCCTGTGAGGGCACATACTGTACTCCTTGCCTGCCTTCAGCACGAGCGACTTCTCTGCAGGCTGATCCGTCCTTCTTTGAACTTCTTCCAGGTTGCGAGACGGGGCCAATAAGGAGGTTTTGGGCATCATCGTCTCTTACAAAGTGAAAGTGAAGCTGGTGGTCTCCCGAGGAGGGTGAGTGAGTTCTCTCCCAGGTCCCAAACCCCTCGGCACGGCTCCTAGCCCTGCCCCTAGGAGAGCTTCCGGACGAACAGAAAAGGAGGGTGTTTTTGTGTGTACTGTTTATGAATGAGTACAGGAGTCCCCTCGAGTGACTTTTCTTTTTGCATTGGACGTCCCCAAATCCCCAGCCACCATGGCCGAGGTTTGACAAAGTCTGCTGAACAGGCATAAGATTCAGCTCTGCAAGGGAGCAAAGAACAGAGGCCCGGCTGGCTAGGGAATCCCAAGAGTGGTCTTGCAAAAAAGAAAAGAAAAGAAACGTATTCTCCAAGGCTTTCACAGCTGGGATCCTTGCAAAAGAAAAGAAAAGAAAAGAAAAGGAACGTATTCTCCAAGGCTTTCACAGCTGGGATCTGATGGTTGTTCTGGGTTTTTTGGGCTCTTTGGCTGTGTTCCGAAGGTTGTTCTTCCTGACGTTTGGCCAGTCTCTGTGGCCATGGGGCATCTTCAGAAGACAGGAGACGGAACTCTGTCTGTGCTCTGGTGCAGTTTGTTTGGAGAAAAGAAAAGAAAAGAAAAGGAACGTATTCTCCAAGGCTTTCACAGCTGGGATCTGATGGTTGTTCTGGGTTTTTTGGGCTCTTTGGCTGTGTTCCGAAGGTTGTTCTTCCTGACGTTTGGCCAGTCTCTGTGGCCATGGGGCATCTTCAGAAGACAGGAGACGGAACTCTGTCTGTGCTCTGGTGCAGTTTGTTTGGATAGTTGAGTATTTATAGCTGTGGGATCAGGTTTTTGTCCTTTTCAGGAGATTGGGTGATTATGGTGATCAGCATGGTTTTTTGTTGTTGTTGTGAAACTGGGATCTGCCACACAGTTTCACTAAGCTGTTGTTGTTTTTTGTGGATATATTGTTGTGATAAGGGGGAGAGATGATCTGTCAAGAGCCCAAAAAACCCCACAACAACCATCAAAAGAGAAGGAACTTCTCCAACCTGGCCTGCTTTAGAGACTGAGCTGTCTCGGGCCGCTAGTTCAGTCCCTGCTGACCATGGTGGACCACTGCCCCGTGGCGGCTGCTGTCTCCCCAGAAAGGGCTCTTTGAGCGGAGTGGGATGCTTTCCCAAGTAAACATTGCAATCTGGAAAAGTCCCCCGCCCTTTTCCTTTAAAAAAAAAAAATCCAATGCCCAGAATCCACACACACACAGAGGCAGCCAACTTTTCCAAGCCACGGGGAAAGTTGGCATAAGAGGTGGCGGCCAAGGCTGTCCCAGGCTCACACAGAGGTTTGTCCGTAAGGCCGGTGAGCCCCAGAGCTGATCCCAGCCTTCACGTTGCCACCTGGGGGTCTCGGCGGCAGCATCCGGAGGGGCTCAGCTTGCATCTGTGGCTCAGTGGTGGGTTCCCAAAGCAGCACGGACTGGCCCTTGGGGCTGGTGGCCCTGGTTCACCGACGGGGGCTCCCCTCCCCTAGCACCGATTCGCAGTCTGAGGGTTGCAACCGATAACTAATTCTCTCCTCTCCTTTGATAACACCAGCCTGCTGGGAGACCTTGCGTCCAGGTAACCTCCCCCTCGCACCAATTCTGCCTGCAACGGCCGCACAACACATGTGCGGCGACACACAACCCCTCGCATGCTCTCTCCTGATGCTGCCCCCCCTCCTCACCTTCCATTCCCTCTCCCTTGCCGGTTTTATTTTTCCTTTCCTTTTTTTATTTTATTTTTAAACAAGCCCATTTCACAGTCATTCGCCGGCATTATAATTCGGCCCTCTCCGACCACGCGCTGGCCCAGCCGGTCATCGCCTCACAAATTTCGGAAAGGCAACGGGGTGGAGGAAGAGGTGGGGGTCTCCAGAGGAGGCTGGACTACAATTCCCATCTGGCCTTGCAGCCAGCCTAGTCAGGGGGAGAGGAGCCCGAGGAATTGTCCTCCAGCCACCACCGAAACCGCTTGGGACCCTTCCGTGGCCGCAGGGGCTGACGCTCGGTCTCTCTCTTTCCAGCGACGTGGCCGTGGAGCTGCCGTTCACCCTCATGCACCCAAAGCCGAAGGAAGAGCCACTGCACCGGGACGGTGAGTTGCACGCCCCCCATCCCTCCCCGCGGGACCATTCTCGAGGACCTTTTGGGGAAGAGAGGTTCCCGGAGATCCCCACCAGTACAGGATCCTGGGAGTCATAGTCCAGAAAATGACCTTTTCCACCCACTGTGGGTGGGTGGGAGTGTTGGAAAAGGGTCCCCTCGGGAAGAATCGGGTCAAGGAGGAGAGACTGGAAGCCCAGACGGATCCTTTATCCATTTGGTGGCCTGTTTGTCAACCCAGGCGGCTAGCAAATAAAGGCGTCACTGGCCTCGGGAGCCCACAGGGAAGGCACTCACGGGGTAAGGGTGGTGTCCACATGGGGAAGGAGGTGGCCGTCTGGACTGCTTGTGGTGGAGCGGTCTTGGGCAGTCTGTTTCTTGGCAACCACACAACACACAGGGAAATGTGATCCAGCCTGACCCCGATCCACACCTAAGTGGGGCGTTGGGGTCTATCTGCAGGGCTACTGCTTTGGGGGGGGGAGGTCTATGGGCTGCATTGGAACCCCTCCCAGCAGATGGAAGGGCTGTTTTAAGGGAGGTTGCGCCCATGAAATGGACCCTTTTGGGCACCATCAGGCGCCTGCCGGTGTCCCAGTGTGCCCAAGCCTGTCCAGGTTTCAAGGTGTCTTCATGTTTAGGGTGAGAGAATCCGGGAAGTGGTGGGTGTCCCTCGGTGTATCCGGGAGGATTCTGGGAGGCTGTTGCAGAATCAAAGACTTCTCCAGTGTCCGGGTGCAGCTAGCGAGTAACAAACAAACAGCCCCCATGGGAATCAGCTTTTACCAGGGAGGTCGGCCAATCTTTGGGTCTGAGTCCCTGAATCCAAGCCTTTGCTATCCCAAATCCAAGCCTCTATTCCAAACAAGCTTTTTTCTCTCCCCCCCCCAATAAAAAAGGGAGGAGTGGGTCGGTTCTGAGTCGTGAGTTGAGTACCTGGGGAAAAAACCCGCCCCGGATCAAATCTGGAGTCAAGTCGCTGGTGTGACTTGAGTCCAACTGGACAGTGAGTCCCCCCCCCCGGCTTTTTCCGCTGCAGCTGCTTTGGCTACAGGCTCAGAAGAACCGCTCAAAGATAAATCCGTATAAGAATGTGGAAAGAAAGGGGATCCCCGAGGGTATCAAGCTAGAGCTGGGTATCTGCTCTGGATGACTCCTGTGGTTCTTTTGGCAGGTGTGATTAAGCCCTTACTCTCCTGGGGACACCCATCTCATGAATGTGTCCTAGGCAGATCTGTTTTCCTTGAAAAGACAGGGAATAAGAGTTAAACCCATCTTCCTCGGTATTTAAATAATTTCCTTTACACTGGAACGTCTGCGCCAGTCTCTCTGAAATCCGCCAGAGTTCAACGGCTCTGCTTGCAGGCTGCTGTGCTTGCAAATTTCATCTGGTTCTTTCGGGGGGGGGAAGAAAAGAGAAGAAAAATCAAAAAGGAAATGACAGCCCTTTGCTCGTTCGCCTGTAAGCCAATAAAGAGCCATGCACAACTTCCAGATATTCTGGAGCATGACTCCCTTTTAGACCAGAAGTTTTTTTTAAAAAGGGTTGAGTCACATTGGCCACTTTCTGAAGTTCTCGGAGGAAGAATAGATTGAGTTTCACATTTCAGCTGTGACCTGCAGCGGTTCCCAAGATGGGTTCCCCAGATGTTCTTGGACTACAACGCCTAGAAATCCCAACCAGCACAGCTGGTCGAGAAGGCTTCTGGGAAGTCCAACAACATCTCAAGGTTGGGAAGCAGGGTTGAGGTTTTTGGCAGGGTTAACGGCGTAAAGGCCCACAGCACCAAAGGAGCCTCGCTGCTGAAGTGCAAATCATGGAAGGAATGCCTTCTTTTGGGCAGCAGTGAGACGGGGGTGTGGGGTGTGGAATCCGGTGCCACTGCGTCCAGAAAAGTAACGCGTCCGCCTACTTTGGAGGAGTCTGGCTCTTCCTCGCTGCTCCACTTTCCTCTGGCCTGGGGCCCCCTGATCCGTTGCCCTCTCCGAGGATGCAAGCACTGGTGAGGGAAGAGGGGGGACCCAGAGATACACACACACACACACCGCAGACCCTGGAGTGGATTCTGCCCCTCACCTTAGCCTTGCAAGAGTGCCTTTGCAAAGGCTTTGCTACCCAGTGGGCAAAAACAAACAGCCCTCCGTGGCCCTCTGAAAGCATGACTCATCTGAGGACTGCAGACGGGAGACGGGAAAAGAAAGGTCTTGGAAGCAAAGCAGAAACCAATGAGGTTGGGGGGAAAAGGACAGCTGGCTTCCCGAGAAAAATAACCGTTTGCCTTGATTCCGTGTGTTCAGTTCCAGAAAACGAAGCTCCCATTGACACCAATCTCATAGAGCTTGACACAAAGTAAGCCGAACTCTTGGGGTGGGAAGAAGGGGTGTCGTGCCTGATTATGCAGGGAGGGTGTTGGGGTTGGGTGGGTGGGGGTTCTGCCTGGAACTCTGAACCCTTTGCATGTGACCAAGAGCCTTGCCATTCCTCTGCACGTAACTCACTAACCAACTCACCCGTCTGTTTCCGACACCGTCTGCTCCATTCGTCATCAGAAGGTCTGTGTGGTTTTAACGCTCCGGCACCTAATTTCTCTTAACGTGTGCTCTGCATGTTTCTTCTCTCCCTTTGCCTCCTTTGCATGACCCAAACCATCGTGTTGCATGCATGCGCACGGCGCAGCAAGAAAAAAACCGTAAGAGTTCCTCCTTCTGTGTGTCTTGATCGCTTTGGTCACGTCTTGGTCCTTCTCTGGTCGCCCCTGTGTTTGCTGCTTTTGAAAGCCATGTGAAAGATTCATTGCAGATCTATAGTCCTCCTCTTCTATTTGCATGAATGTCCCTTCTCGTTCAACAGGATGTGCAGGTTTTACCAACAGTGCAAAAACCTGCAGCGCCTGTTTGTCACTAGAACTGAAAAAGATAAAAATGTAAGCAAGGCTACTGTGGTGCACAAGACCCCTAAAGAAAACCAAGCATGTCCTTAACTTTAAGCCCCAGGGGTGAACAGTGGACCCCTAACAATGAACTGAGTTTCTATTACACCTTGCACCTCTGCTTAATTTAGTTAATCCCAAATTTTAGCTGGACTATATGGCAGAGAAGCCTTTTCTCATACCACACAGTTCAGAACTAGTTACTGCCCGGCCTGTAATTCTATGCAGTCGGACTATAGTATCCACGGGGAATCGGTTCGTAGCCTACCCCCCCCAGCAAATGCCGAAAACCAGGGATAATAGCAATCCCTGTATATAGCATTGTTTGTCCAGTGTGGTGTGTAGAGGATAGAGTGATGGACCAGGACTTTGGGGAACGGAGTTTGAATCCCCACTTGCCCGTGGAAATTCACTGGGGGAGTGGAGACTAAAACTGTGTTCTCCAAAGTCCTACCTGGTTCATCATTCTAGCCACTACACCGCACTCTGAATCTAAGTCTGGTAATTAAGTTGTGGAAATACATATACATATGTATTTCTGTGGGTTTTTTTACTAAATATTTTTAACATTTCCAGGCTGTGCATAAATGAAACAGTGGATACTGATTCCGTGGATGCAAGAGTCCTACTGTATATTCTTTGCCTCCTCCAACCCAGCCAAAAAAAGTTGACATTTTGTGAAAGAGCTGCTTCGTAATGTGAGCAGCATTTCTATTCTTTATCAGCTTTTGGATTACAACTCCCAGAATCTCGTCTGGCCCCGCTGAGGGATTCTGGGAGTTGTAGTCCAAAACAGCCAGGTGGCCACAATCTGTTTTGAAGTGCTTTAAAACGTGCTTTTTGTGTGTGTGTTGTTTTCTCATCAAAGGTTCATGTTTCTGAGATGGTGCTGGAGGAAGGATGTTGTTTGTGGCTGAAAAGCATCTTCCGCACAAACAGCCTTACTCTGAGGAGTAGAGTTTGTATTTCCGATCAGCCCCGCCTGAGCTGCCCCTCTGCCCTCGAGGCCACTAATTACGGGCTGTAGCTAATGTCTGCTTCTGGCCCCCAGCTCTTGTTTCACTCCTGTTGCGTCTTCCCTTTTTTGCCAGTGACGACGACATCGTTTTTGAAGACTTTGCCCGGCAGAGGCTAAAAGGTGCGAAAGATGAGAAGGAAGAGGACGAGGACGGGACGAACTCCCCGCAGCTGAACGACAGATAAGCTGGAGGGCCTCCATGCGCCGCTCTCTTCGTCCCTCTCTCTCTCTCTCTCTCTCTCTCTCTGTCCCGGAGTCTACCCTGTTGAGTGCTAGGCTCCTTTCTTTTTTATATGAGTTTTTGGGGTTGGGGGGAGATGGTTGCTTTGTTTTTTAGACCTGATTCAGGAGCCTTTGGGCAAGTCGGCCAGCTTGGGGGGAAAAACCCGGCTGCTTCTTTTGACCACCGTCGGGCTAGTGGGCTCCAAGGCCCTCGACCTGAGCGACGTCTAGGGCACATGTGTGCGTGTGCATATGTGTGTCCTTCTGTGTGTTTTCCTGTGTGCAGTGGTTGAAAGAAGGAGGGAGACCAGCCTGCGATCACTGTGCTCTGCTTTCTGGTTTGGTCCCGGACGGGGGCAGTGAGGGCGGAGAGAGAGAGAGAAAAGCATCTTCTCCCTCTCTAGGCACCGTACAAGCTGGGAAGGGGGGGGGGATCACTCCGTGGGCTTGTGAGAAGGAAGTACGTCTTCATTCAATGCTTGATAAAACCTTACGGGAACAGTCCTGCAAGACGGGGGGGGGCTATCTCTCACCAGGGTTATTGGCAAGTCTTTGCTACCAAGTCCCACGTCTGAGTCTTTGGTATCAAGTCCCAGCTCCAAGTCCTTATTAAAACCAAGTTCCCCCACCTACCCAAGAAAACAGGGGTGGGTGAGTTCCCAAGCCATTGGGAAAAAAAGAAAAACTACAAGTCAAGTCACTGTTGTCACTTAAGTCTGACGTGACAGCGAATCCCACGACGCGAGTCCCCCTCCGCCTCTTTCACCTCGAGCATCGGAGGCAGGAGCCTCGATGAAATCAATACCTACCCTGGGGAATAAGAGATGCAAAGGCACCGTTTTCCCTCTTGTCCTGCTCGGGGATTAAATCCTGCTGGGAAATGCGAGGGCCACGGTGGGGGAAAAGATGCTGGGCTGATGATCCTTTAGCCTGATCCATCTTCAGGACCCTTCTCCTGTTCCTCCTTCACCTCCTCTTCAGCCCAGGTGTCCCTGGTCTGGAACTCTGTGGAGCCCTGAAGTTGGCCGTTCGCTGCGAGGGGAACCCACGGCTCCAGCCAGCATCTGTCGGAAGCCACATGCTGGATGAGGTGCAGTTTAGGTCCGATCCAGTGGAGCGCTGGTGCTTCTCTGTTCCCTCAGCCGGCGGTATTGCATCTTTTCCTGCCCTCGTCAAGACGGTCACTCTCGACCGTTCAAGAGCTGCCCTCTGGCACTTTTTAGATGCCTGCCCTAAGGATGCCCTCGCTCACCCCTGGCGTGGCCAAGCAGGCCGCCTTCTCTTGCTTAAAGGCGAGGTTCTGAACCGGCCCTTCTCCGTGGGACCCCGGCACGTCGTAAGAGGCCACAGAGGCTTCTGTTTGTGTTGGGTCCTTATTTTGCACACCACCAAAGGTTTCCCTGATCAGGCCCGGAAGCCCTGGAACCTCAAAGGGCCAAGGGGGCCAAAACAGTTTGAAAACAGCTGATCAAAACACATGGGTTTTGCTTTGAAGGCTGGGAATGATCCAGACTTTTGCCGGCCTTGGGCCATTTAATTGTCCATGGGTTGGCCCTTAGCCCCTCCCGAGGCTCTAAATGGATTGCCGGTCGGGGTGTGTTTTCCATTGCAAACTCTACAATCCTGGACTCAGCCTGTGCCGTTTCCTTTTCTGTGTTTTGCTGGATTCAGAGCTGAC